ATAACCTTAAGGGACAACTTGAATGCTTTTTTTCTTTTTTTTCTCTTAATGCATTGCATAAAGATCGGATCGGGAAAAATCGGTATCGGCAAATTGTCAAAATCAAATGATCGGAATCGGATCGGGAGCAAAAAAAGGTGATCGGGACATCCCTACTTACATAATTACATCGTAGTTTTGTATATGTTATGACAATAAACCTTGAAAAAAGTTTTCAAAAAGGCACAATAAGTAGGATTTGGTGGTTGTAGTTCGTAACCTACCTACTGTAGAACACAGTTTTTGGGGTTTTTCGAAATGAACGTCATTGTACACTTCATAGCTCGAGTGATACCATTGCAAAATAGTCTCTAGCTTATGTATGAGTCTATACAGTACATTGTTTTCAGAGAAATACTTTTTTTATGTTATATATGATTTATTTGTGACATTGTCAAACACAGAAAGCATACATATATACATAGACCCTCACATACAATAAAGGGAGTAAAAGAGACCATTCTACCAGGGAAATACTTTAACTAAAGCAGAGTTAAATCAGTGAATTACTATAGGTAAAACAAAATAGTGTATAACTATTCTATGCTATCTCTAAAAATTATGTGAGAAAACGTACATTAATTAACTCATGAATACACACCAAATCTTAATCCAACATTATTTCCTTTTAAAACTTGTTTTCTTTGTTTTTCAGTTGCATTAACACAATGATTGATTTATAAGTACTTATTTTTATTCAGACCTTATCTGCAGAAACACTGGTTGCCCTGGTGTAGCTGTAGATACTTAACAGAACTTTTAACACATGCTAACTCTCTCTGACCACCAACCTCTCTCTTCAGATCCACCACTTCTGTGTTGCACGACGTCAGCTCCTCCTGGTTGGAGTCCCGAGTAAACTCTCTCCTCTTGGTCGGCACATTTTCATAATTTACAGGCTGCAAGGCATACACACACTCGAATATTAACTATCACAATATCAACATAGCTTAATGGCCTTCAAGCCAGTGTTTAACAATAAACGTCAACCAACCTCTGCAGGCTGCCTCATCGTTTTTGTGCTTGAATCGTAGTTGAGCATATCAAACGGGTCTATCCAGTCGTTGTCCGCCTCCTGTGCCGAGCCAGACAGAAACAGGCTGACAACCAGGACCACGAGGAACATCCCGGCACTACGGGGGGTATCTGCTAACTATATATCTGACAGAATATCCAGAAAGACTTCCTGGAAAGTGAAAGCAAATGCAGGTGGCTTACTTTACCCCCTGTGCTCAAGCTAACCTGACTAAACAAAGTTTCTTAGCTAATGGTGAAAAACTGCTTTGATCATTCAGAGCCAGCGACTCAAACTGAGCGAAGAAGATACTTTAATATTCGATAGCTATAATAAAACGATGTATATTTAATACTTTCTACTCGAACAACACCATAACAGCTAGTCATTACATCAACAAACTGCCAGCGCCGCTTTACGGTACAACCATCTGACGCAACTTACGTGCGTTGCAAAGGATCGAGGGAAATGTAGTTTCAGAGAAAAGGGCGAACGAAAATGTTATATTCATCAAAAAGAATACTCATGTAGCCTAAGTGAGTAAGTGCACAAGTATAATAAACTAAATGATGTCCTAATTAAATATATAAAAGTAAAGTTTAGGATGTGAAGAAAGGAGTAAGGAATAATTAAAAGTCTGTTTTTTATTACATTATTTTCATTTTCAATCTCCATTTGCGCTGGGGACGCTTTTTGAATTAGGCTTGGCCAGGACACAAAATCTCTCAAATAATGAAAACTCACAAAAGAACATAAAACGCCCCGTACCTTTGTGTGTGTTTCTTTTTTAAAGTAGAAAACTGAACCTATATTTTCCCCATTTACAAAAACATTTTAATTGTTATTTTAATTGTTTAACTCGTATTTTTTTTCAAGTTTTATATAAAATGTTCTTTTTAAATAATGTTTTTAATTCTTATTTTTATCCCTTTATTGTTTTTGTTCAAGTAAAACGTTTTTTCATATTCAATTTCTTTTTTTTTCAAGTTAGTTTTTATCATTGTATTACGTAGTTTTTTTATTCTAGGTTATTCATTTCAGTATCATTTTATTTCATTATTTTAATCATTAATAATTAAATGTTATTATTTTAGTTATTATTTTAATTAAGAATTAAGAATGCATCTAACGTTCCGCTCTTCATTATAATAAAAAAACAGACCATCATGCTCTTACTTTGAAATTATGCGGAAATGTCGTCATCAGCAGGCCATCACGTGGTTTCCGAAAATAACCGAGTGACACGAGTAGATTTTAGCGGAGACCGGCGGAAAATATGTCTCAAAATTCCGTGTGTGTAAAAAGACGATCCACAAGCAGAAATGTGAGATCCACGAGCAGAGATTTAAGATCCGCAAGCGCATTTTTGTTCGACAAATACAAATTGGATTCACAAATACCTTATCGAAAGTTGTAAATGTTAAGATATTCACAGATCTTTTTTTTATTTGTGAAAATATTTAGCGTATTTGCAGATCCGTTTTACACTTGCACATTTATTTGTGAGTTTGCAAATCTTTTAAATGCATTTGTGGACGGTGTTTTACATTTACAAATCACATATTTACACACAAATTATTTTTATGTTCACACAAATAATTATGAGACATATTTATGCCCATACAAATAGCATTCAACTGATTGCAATGTATTCCCATCTGCGGCGGCATTTGACGCTCATGGAAGCACGGCATTCGTTTGTGTCGGCTGCCCTTAAAGGCAATATGAGCGTCCATTCCCATTGGATAACGGAGAATTGTACACCCGGAAGTAAGTATTCCCCTTACTGTCGATTGATTTTACAGTGATATCTGCACTACTCATCGACTAAAAAACACCAGATTATCCTTGTTAATTACACAACATTGATTGGTTTAAATTGTGTGCAATGTTTTAGTATTTTTCCCTTTCGATTCGGAGAAACAAATATTTTTTCGGAGTAAAGGATGGCAGAAGACACTACACTACCCAGAATCCCCAGCTATCGTTTAGGACTACACCATGTGCTCTGTTTGAAAAACCCAGTGATTAGTTCTCAAGCTCTGTGATTGATTGACCTCCAACTGCATTCCATATCAAAAAAACGTTTCATAAAAGATAAAATCATACTTTATACAGCAGTGCTTGCTTTACTCTTTGAAAGTCATCACATGAATGCATTGTAATAAATGGTTCGGCTGCATTAAATATATTACACATCTGTCGTAGTTCTTTATTTTTATTTATCTACAGAGATCGGGATCAGAATAGACCGGAAACTATTCTTTTACCGTTCAGTTTGAATTTCACAATAAAGTTAGTAGTAATATTTTGTTTTGATATTATTGTTTTTTATTAACTACTATACCGCTGGGTCATGTTAAGACCATCTTTTCTGTGTTGCTGTGGGTTTTTTCCGTCGCTTTTGTGTTACAAATATCAAAACAATAACTAAATATATCCGTCAAACTAAACCAGAAGCAGCAGTAT